AATAAAGTATTTTACAGTATATTAAAGGTGTTCGGCCATCCCTTGAAGGATAAATGTTCTCTCATCAATTTTTGCCATGTGTTTGAACTTCAATAACCGTACATTTTTGATCAAAAAATAATTGAGTAATCAATCCCAATTGATAGTGAGTTTTTACCACAGAAAGTACCAGGATGTGTGACCTTTTAGAGGTCATGCAAAGTACCAGGATGTGTGACCTTTTAGAGGTTTTGCAAAGCACTGTGATTGACCCTTTGGAGGTCATGCATATCCGGTTAAATATTCAAAACCTTATATGTGTAATGGTGGTTGACCTTTGACCCTTTGAAAGCTAAAATAAAATTTTGTCACTTTTCAAAAAATAAACCCACTTAAATTTTCCAAAAACAAACTTTTATCAAAAGAATAAGAAATAAATTATGTCAATTTGGACTAAAATTAACAAAGAAATCTTTAAAAAAAAAAATTGCAAAATTGTGCCTCCCAAATTTTGGTGATAAAAATGATGGTGTTCAAATTTACCTTTGGTGAATCCAATATCATATGAATCAGAAACTAACTTCTCTGTCATATGTCAAAGATTAATACAACAAACTAAAGATGCCATTAACTATTTCTGGTATGTCATTTTTGTCGACTTCAAAATGTTTGACTGTCATTGCATCTCATCACTTGATATTGTTTTTCCTTTAAAAGAGGCCACATACAATAAATACTATGTTGCATTTTTAAACAATTTAAACTTCTTAAATCAAAAATTCTCTGAAATGTTTGTGTCAACAAAAAAACAAAGAATTTCAAAAAACTCCAAAATGTGTCAAATATTCAAATATTTCTCTGTGGTTTCCAAGATTATGAGTAATACAAGTTTTTGAAAATGTGATTTTCTTTTGCACAGTCAACAAAATAAATATTTCTTGTGGCTTTTCAAAAGACACTTTTAGTGAAAGGCGAATTTAATGTTGCAGAAAGCAATGTCGTCGGCATGGCCATCATCATAAGAGGAGATGAAGATGCGGTTTCTATGGTAACTGATGGTTCTATAGACGTCTGGGAAAAGATCTAGCAAAATAATAGAGTGTGCAATAAAATATTTGTTTGAACGATGGAACTTTCCAGAATGCAATAAAAAACGTCAGTAATGTAAATAATGACAATTGTAATGACTTTTTAAGAGCTGCGTCAGGTTTTCTAAACGTGGTTGCTATTACATCAAAATGAGGTAGATTTCAAAGATATTGGTTGCCATGGTAACTAATTGGTGATGGTTTCCGCCAGTTGTTCATCATCACTGTTCTGCAATATCAAGTATTGTGTCTGAATTTTATAAATGTTATCATTCTGAGTGCAGCTTGTCATTTTGCTTTTTTTTTACTTGAAGTTACATATATAAATACCAGTGTGACTGAACTCCAATGTGACTGAACATTAACATTACTGAACATCTATGTGACTAAACACAAATGTAACTAAACACCAATGTGACTGAACACCTATGTAATTGAACATCTATGTGACTGAACACAAATGTAACTGAACTCTAATGTGACTGAACAATACCTTTACTGGACATCTATGTGACTGAACACAAATATAACTAAATACCAGTGTGACTGAATGT